TTCTGTTATAGTACAGACTATGCTTTACAGTATTTGAACAAGTCTTGTTATTTCCAGTACCTGCAAATAAGGGGACAGAATGCAATGCTGAATTGGAAATATGTAGATAGATGGAATCGAACAGTTTAGTTTGCGATAAGAATACTGAAAATAATCCACCGGCTACAATGATAATTTTGTTAGTACGGATTGTTACGTAGTTTGAAGAGGGTAGAAAAGTGCTTTACTTCCTAATCCAGTAACCCTTTCCAGTATCTGGGGAGACCAGCCTCTGCTTTTATATCCAAAGCGTTTAAATTGCAATCATGAATAACTATTGCAATTTAGTAATTTGTATACGCGATACATTGCCTATGTGAAAATGTGCATAGTATGTGAAACTGTCTATGCTGCATTGCGTATTATGGTATCAGAGCCAGAATTTTGATTGCTGGGTAAAATGAATTCTATTTGTTATCAATCTTATTCAAATTCAAGAATCGCAAAGAAAACAGGTAAAATTCATTGTTAACCGTTCAATAAGTAAACATTCTTATAATTAGCTCTTCCGTAGATACGTTATATGCGCCGGAAAGCTAGAAATATTACTTTTTTCTCTATGGTATCGCCATTAGAATCTCGGAACATGTATGCCCAGGAGAAAAAATTTTTTTAACATAACATAACATAGTGATGTCGGCTCTGAAGTGTAGGCCTGATGTGGCCTGTCGCCGATTACCAACGATGTCATCGGGGAGGCTGTTCCACATGTCGGTGATTCGAAGCGAGAAAAAATTTTGTCGCGTGGAGAAGTTGCAGCGCAATTTTTTTAGCTTATAGCCGTGGCCCCTGGTGTTGGTTCTTGTTTACTCATTTCAGTTTCCGATGTGACCAACAGTTTCTAACACACTGCACATTTGGGCTTTTTCTCTCTCTCACCGCAATGGATTGCATGTAATTGAAGCAAGCATCTCTACTCAGATTAAATTATTTTTGTTTCGAGAGATATCGGTCTAAATGATGCAATATTTACTTCCTGATAACGCTATAACGATAACGTTACAGTTCGTAAAGTTGGAAATGTTGGTCTCGTGTGTCATTCAATATCAGAATTCAGCGGTGATTTTTAGTAATAATTTTTCCCGGTTTGGCGCGAATACTTCTTCAATGTAAATTATGATTCGTAACCCTATCCCTTCCATTTTCCATGCATTCTCCTTCCGAAGCAAAATTTTCTAATTTCCGTCCACGACATCCACATGCAGTTTGTAAATCGAGAATTTTTTGATAATTTTAATTAGTAAAATAACATTTCGATTGATTAATTTATTGCACAAATGTTCAAATTTTGGAATCTTCAATTATTTTAGTGAAAAACTAAATTTTAGTAATAGCAAATATTATTGAACAGTCAGAAGTAACAGATTGGTACACATTATCTGTACAGAGTGCACATTATTTCTGTACCTTGCTACATCGCACAGTTTATGTATAAAGCGAAAATAAAGCCGTTGTCCTCAATCAAGTGCTGAAGTGGAATCAGTTACCGTAACTCGAAAACTTTTGAGACTTATCAATATATTTGAATAGTAATTAATACGTTCAAAAATTTTAGTTTATCTCAAATTGTCTCAAGAAAAAGTGAAGTCTTCTTAAGGGGTTGTGAGACAGGGAAAAAATTAGGGTACAGGCTTGAGGGTTATATCATCTCCGGTGGTTCACGACACAAAAAGTTGTCACAAGCAGTTGGTGGAATTCTTTCGACCAAGATGCTGTGATTGGTAGTAAGATTAATTATTCTTAGTTCTGGAGAAATGAATGCTTCTCTACTACGTTAATAGTGTAATATAATTTTTAGTAATAATGATGGTATTTTTCCAGTAAGCATGTTCACTAAACGCTGATCAATACATTAATTAGATTTTTTCATTATGATCTTCTTGATAATAATTAATAAACACAATAGCTGTGTGATTAGTTAATTCTCATGCCTGTACGCTCTATAAAAGAAGTGAATGCGTGCATATTGAGCCGGGGGCATGTAGTGAGCAGCAGGGAACATGAGGGCGTAGATATTCATGTTGCTCATGTTCTCAACACAACAACACTTCGTCATGTAGTGTTGAGAACATGTTGCCCATGTTCTCAATACAACAACACTTCGTCGTGCAGTGTTGAGAACATGTTGCCCATGTTCTCAATACAACAACACTTCGTCGTGCCGTGTTGAGAACATGTTGCCCATGTTCTCATAACAACAAAACTTCGTGGTGCAGTGTTGAGAACATGTTGCCCATGTTCTCAACACTGCACGACGAAGTTCAGAAAGCCAGATGCTGCCGCAATAAATCACTTCTCTTGCAAACTTTTGCCGCGGGCGTGTCGAGAAGTATGCCGAACATGCCAAAAAACTAGCATTATTTCAAACACTTGAATCATTCTCTCTTTAGCCAGCTTTGTTCGAATTTGACAGAATTCACAACGTTATTTTAACTTAATATCTCAATTCAAACCTGATGGGTCATGGTAATTAAGAAAAAGTTGCAACTAAATTACTTACTAAGCGGCATTGCAGCCAAATTGTAAAAAAATGTACGCTTGGAGCGTGTGATGCCGGGTAATCACCGCTGGCTTATAGTCTGGTAACGTTTATCAACGGTTTATTATGCTGAACGTCTAGTTTAGATTAAAATTAAAATCGTGAACCTAGACCAGTGAGGCGCTGCCGCTCGCTCGTTCAATAATATGCCCGAAGTTGAAAGGTTATATTCATGCCAAAAGTTAAGATGCTCAGTAGCTATGCTCTTGAATAAGAGTAGAGACAAAACTTTATCAATAAAAACAAAAACTTAATTTTTTGCAAAACCCGTTTAGAGTAAGCGGGCCTTTAAATTTAATTTTCTAGATAAGTCAATTCGATTGACTCGAGAGCGCCTGCCTACCGACATTTTATCAATATCATGTTCCCTATATGGGTTCCTGATTGTGCATAGTTTCCTCCCACAGCTCCAAGTGTTTAGAACTAGATTCCTGTATCTCCTATTCTAACCAGGGTACGCAGCCGTGCACCACCAAATTTGTGCACCAATCAGCCTTGAAAGGAACGCCTAGCATATTTCCTGATGACCACCAATCAGCCGCGGATTAAGCTATCCGTCGGTAACCAGCCCGTGACATCATTTTGCTTTAAATATTAGGAGCTTTACGCCACCACATTCTGAAGCGAATAGCCCAGAGAGTTATGGTTATGCACCACTGAACGTTGCATCGAATCATCACTTCATACCCTGACTTTAGCTCGAACTGTAACTTGCGGACTACGGGAGTTACAGTTACCAACCAGCCCACGTCGCCTGTGGAACTGCGTGCATCCTGCCGTGTACCACCAGACCGTCATTTTTAGCTCACAACATTGGGGTTAGGTTTCAGACAGCATAGTTCTGTTCCAAAATCTATCGTCCTTCGACGAGCGACTTCTACAGCTTCGCTAAATTGCGTAACTTTTAGCTCACAGCATCTGAGGTTAGATTTCAGATAGCATAGTTCTGTTTCAAAATTTATCTACCTACGACGCGTGGTCGTTCGACCGTAGGCTGATTCGACACACGGGACAGATACGGACGGCTCCGGCGCGCTCCGTCCGGGTGGAGTAAAATTTTTTCGCGTATTGGCGGACGACGCTGGGCCATACGACGCTATTCTATGCTATGCTATTCTATGCTATGCTATTTTCTTGTGGTCTGATTGGTCTAATTCAATGGATGTGATCTGTCTGGTGGCGTGCAGCTGATAATGTTACAGTCAAGAAGTGTTGTAGGCTACGTTCTTTCGTGATCATGATAGTCTATTCGAAGCACGGCAGTGATGGTCTCCGACAGGCGTCCCTTCTAACCACACTCCCACGTTTAGGAACACAGAAGCACAATTCAGGTTGTCCAGTGACCGCATCGCCAGCATAGCTTCAGTGACAGGCGCGCTGGTCGCATTTCGCACTTAGATGTCATACAAACGCCAGAGGAAAGTGAACATTAATTGGGCTGCCTGGCAAGCGCCTCGTTTTGGCTGTAAACCTTGACGGATGACTTGAAAAATCCGTCCAGGTTATTCTTTCTGCACACTTTACACAATCTTGCATAATGATATAACAGATAGTAATTTAAAATAAGAACTATTCACTTACCGCGAAGGTAAACAATTCTATCTTCAATCACTCAATCGAGCTTGATTTCAGGTAAAAAACTCAATATAAATAACCTCTGTATGTAAACAATGTATAAACTTAAATGTTTTATAACAAAATAAGACTGTAAGTTCACAAACGCTAATAAATTACTCAGACGGGCAAAGAAAAACCTGGGTTCGCATTTCTATTCTGTAAGTTCGTAGTTTGAAAATGCAAATATTTTAAATTACATTACATCATTGCATAAGGCTGTTGTTTAGGGACAGAAAAAAGTCGGTTGCTCTTTCACGCCTAATGTACTGCAGTGCATTTTAAGGTAACTTAATTAGTTGTCCCGTACAGCTCCTAAATATTAGCATAGCGTGTTTCCATTTGCTAATTTGTAACTACAGCTACACTGACCAGTTCAGCTCCGTAAAATAAATTCATTTTTTGTGTATGAAAAGCCTCGTAAGTAAGTTGATGATTCATTCTGAGCATAGAAAAGGCCTTAAATTAAGTTTCGATTCTTTCTAACCTATTCAGTATATTTTTCTCACATGCTACTGCTTGACTATTAAATTGTTCTACTTCTTCACAATGCCTCCTTCACATAAGTGTTCGTTCTTTTCTTGGGATTTTTGTAAAGGTCGATCTTTCAAGGTTAAAATGTGCTGAAAATCAATTGATGCCATTTAATATTTTGATCGCATCATTCAACTGATAGTAATTCATTATGTCAATAGTCGAAACTGTTGCTGATGATCATAATATTGTTAATATATATCCTTATATAATAATATATCAGGATTTTAATTCTTTATTAATAATTTGAACGATGTGTTCTTGGCAGCTGCAGACTTGGACGGTTCGACACACAGCCTCTCCGTGACGGACACAGGTACGACAGGACTCATTATTTAATTATTTCTCGTGCCAATTTATTTTTCATTTGCTAGTCCAGTTCACTTTATTGCAAAGAATTTTTACCAAACCACATTACCATTGCTGAAAATATGTTGTCATAGCATTAATTAAATCTTAACGTGAAATAAAATATTAGATGTCTCAGCGTACTACCAATACGTTCCAATCTTTTCTTACAAATTAAAAACCTTTGAAATTTAATAATTAAGCATCGTTTTCCTCATCGAAAATAATGTTGTTTTAAATTTTTAATTATAATGTCCCACATTACTATACCTGTAATAAAATAATTGAAACATAGACTGTTCTTGTTTTCCAGATGGCATAACGTCAAGAAAAGGAAAGAATACTTGGTCGCTGCTAAAACTGGTGAGAAAAATTCTTTTTGTCGTTGCGCTAATTAAGATGCTGTTTGTTCAGCAGAAGAGATTGAATAAACTTGGTACATTTTCAATAGTACGTTTTGGAAGTAACGAACCAAACGCTACCACGTGTTACTGATAATCATATGTTAATTTCTTGACGAGCATTCGGTTCAATATCCCCGCCGTATTCTGTTTGAATTATTTTTAGTTCAATTATCATAAGGGTTAGATATTTCTCCAATCATGATTTTTTTTCAACGCTTTAAAAGTAACATTTAATTAGCTTATTCAGCGAAACGTTTGAATACTGTAACAATATTTTAGTTTAACGAAACGTCACTTGATCTCAAGATTTTGTCGGCAAACAAAATTGGTCCTTGTTAATAACTATATTGATTTCAACTACCAAATACGTTTGAATAATTTTATAAAATTTGAAATCACCGGATAATTTGAAACTTGAGGTGTCTACCCACGTGAACTCCGAATAGCAGCGGATTCATAATCCACAATGCTGTCCGTATTACAAATTAATACGTACGGAGAGCTCCGCAGCAGTGAGTTTAGCAACAGACAGTCGCTGTGACCGATGTCCGATAGCTGCGAAATTGAGAAACGCATGAGATGTCATCCTACTGGAGCATAAAAGGGATATGATTTTAGATTTGAATACAAAATTCTAAAATTGACCTGACAAGTAGTTATAACTTTTTACTGTTAAGTGTGACCCTAGACGGTCTAGCACATTAGTTTCAGTCTTGCATGTGTAATTAAGTACGCGTAGAATAATTTTTTTTATTATCGCGCAATGTCAATATTTCTTCAATTAACAAGTGAGATTGGGGTTATACGAGCTTTTAATTTATTCTTGATGCTACAGAATTCACTATTCATTTTTTAAGTAGACAAATTGTTTTAGCAAATTTTTATATCATTTATTACCGGCTATAATTTAATTGGAATGATGTTTGAAATTAATTCCGGAACGATTGCTCCTCCTCAATAGAAATCAGTAATGAAGAAAATGATGCGTCGAGACATGTAAGTGTATAAGCCTAATTTTACTACTTCCGTCTTGTGTTTCACGAGCTCAATATTTTGCCATGTGTTTTGGCATGACGTTGTTCCAATGACGAAGTGTGAATACTTGACGCGTCCTTCTATAAGCATAAAATGACCTATTTTTGGCTACACCTCTAATGAAACCAAGCTGTTAAATGAACTTTGCCCTGTCCCAATTAACTATAATTTTTCTATGAAAATACTCCAGGTATAAACTTATCAGAGCAAGCATAACACTAACAAGATTTTCAAAACGATTCATGAGGCGCATGCCATATATATAAGGAAAAGCAAATGGTGATTACGATTCATTTCTAAAACCAAATCCGAATGCCTTAAATAAACTTACCAGGATTCATTAACCGGATTTAAAAATATCGAAGTTCAAAAACATTGCAATTCACTGGATGTAGCGATCATTCACGCACTTAAATATCTAACCTTAATAAAAAGTGCGCTCATCTATAAGAGCTGTCAAATATTTTTAAGATGCATTCAGTCAATCAATTTGGCAAGTCAACAACAGTTGAATTTTTTATCTTTCATTTCGAATTTATAGTAATTAGTGAGCTTATAAAAGTGGCATAAAATTTTGATTAAATCCAGGAATTCAATTAAAAAATCAATTCTCTTCTGAAAATTATTTCATCCATCAAACAAATATCGCTAATGTTTATAGAAATTGACGAAGTCGCAGCCAGTTGCTTACTTTTTCATTGATGCGCTTAATATGCTTGGGACAAATGAAAATTTTTCTGAAGTTATAATGAACAAAAGGAATAACGAATAAATTTTCAGAAATATTTTACGATTCAACATAGCATATTTATCGCTGCAAGTCCCAGCTATCGACTGATGACGCAGCAAGGAACTCCGCTCTTCTCTGTTGTTTGCTTAAATTTTCATTTGTTTTATCATTAGAAGTCAAATTTTCAGGCTGAATTATCAGGCTTTGCCTGACAATTAAGCCTTTGTATTTCATATAATATTTCATCTAATGTTCTTACGCGTTACAAAACTAATTATTCGCATAATTCAAATACGACCCATATCATTGATTGAGAAATGGAAGCAAATACTTTAATTAACACCATCTAAGTTTTTCTGTTATTATAATTACATATTTTTCTCAAGATAAGCACTTCAGAATTTTCTCTAACTAATTTCTACCGATTCCTCCCATCAGTGCAGACATGTCGATGTGAATAATAGATACATATTATGAAAACAATATGATGGACTCAGATCACGAGTCTCAGCTGCTCATGGAAGTGTTTGACTCTCCCCATCCCCGCACTCCTGATGTCGTACTACTGAAGAGTTAAGAGCAACAGGTTATCATAACACTGTCGTCACCTTCAGGCCTAGGACGCCCCAGTGATTTAAGAAAAACTGACAAAACCTCTTGTCGCTGCAAACAGTCGTTTTCAGTCCTCGGTTAATTACAGAAACCCATCTACTGATAGTTAAAATATCAGAATGAATTTTCGAGAAAATTTTCAAACTGCTTCTTAAATTGTTGTTCGGATTTTCCGCTCTAGGATGATGAAAGAAAAAAGAATAACTGACATTAAATGTTAACGTCAATAAGCAATTTTCGATTTACGGTAGAGTGATTGGTATTGGGGAGCGTTAATTTCTTCATTTATACATGTTCCTTATTTTTATCTTCTTAGCTCGTATTTATCCATTACTGAGTATCATTCAATCAAGATAATTTTATTACTCGGATTCAATTTTTCATCGCATTTTCATTCACGTTATCTGTGTCGTGTCTGCTCTGAATTTAACAGCGAGGCGTTGCTCTAGATGCGGTTACTGAATGCAGATCTACCAATGAGTTTAGGCCGTAAACCCTGCAGAGTTGTTGAACGCAATTGCTATGGCCTCAAGACAACCATTACTTAGCCTGAGTCTTGCTCGTATCAGTGAAGGCGCTTTATGCCCTCGTCATTATCCAGCTTAAGCACTGGGCCGTTGATGGGCTCTGGAAGAGAACAAACTAATCGGTTGCTTGCTTGTTGATTCGTGGAAGCTTATGCATCTTTAGAAAACTTATAGCCGTGTTTATTTAATTTAATTATACGTTAATTATCGGTTTACATAACTTAACTAATTAAATAAAAAACCTAAATGCAACAAAATGCGCATTAATGAGTGTTGCAGAAAGTCTACGCAAATAATTATATGATCGATAACGTTGCGTTTGTGTGAAAAGTTGAACTTCTGTCATCCAGTACACGTTTTGCGAGCTCCTAAGTCGATGTTAAAACGCCATTTGTGCTGGCATAAAAATGTCGTGCAGTTTATGCAAACAAAAATGAGAAAAAATGGCGATTTGTTTAATTTTTGACGTTCGACAGCCTATTTTGAATGACAGTTTCTATGAAATCCTAACATTATTCAAGAACTTTCTCGTAAACGTTGAAAATTTCAATGTATTCGTATACGAACAAATTACTAATCCATTTTATATGGCAAATAGACGCGTGTTTCATAACACAATTCTTCCAGGCTCACATTCTTTTCCTGGTATTTTATTGCAGGCAGACCTCAGGTTCGCGGAAGTGCTGATAATCTTTGATTTTTCTCTGGCGCCTGAGCTTCGGCAATTTATGAGCTCTCCATGGAGTTATATTGTGAAGAAATTTTCGGGAAGAGCCAATTTTTGTCGAATTTCCACCATGGGAAGCACCATGAAGCACGGCAAAATTGCGAACAAAATCAGATTTATCGACAAAAAGGCCCGAAAGTCACTGGAATTATTCAGAAAATGTTATCAGGTTATTAAATTTGTTCAAGAAATGAGCTCATCCTGAGCTTGAAGATGTTGAGGGCTGATGCCAACCGGAGCAATCTGTGTGAAGGGACCTAGAGTTGAAGCGCTTCACAGGCAGCTTCTCTGAGCGCTTTAGCCATGAATTCTGCTTATGAATTTTAATTTGTCTCTTTTTTATCTCGATTTTTTCTCCTAAAACTTTTTCGTCCATTATCCAGCGTTATTTTAAATAAAACTAAGCTGTATCTACAGTCATTTTGCAATAGGTCCCGCATCTATAAAAATAAATATAAAAATCATAGGTATTTTTCTCAGAAAATGTATACCAGCTGATTGATGAGGCATTCAACTGGAATGCAAAGATACGTTTGCTGTTGTGCAGTATTCATATCAAGAGAGTAAATCACAAGCATAAATCGCGATTTTAAATGGTTATGCCTGTCGTGCTATACTTATCTTGATCTATTAAGATCGTAAAGCAGAACATTGTGTAGCATTAAATTCCCAAATTTCAGAACTAATTCGAGCTTCAGCTGATAGTAGGCGTTCGTACCTCGTAACGAGCTCGTTTAGTCGATCCCTGTGAGGTATTTAGTACGTTAATATAGCCTTGCTCGTGTTGTCGCTGAGGTTGCTTAATTATGAATTGAAAATATGACCCAACTTTTACCATGAACTAATAATTTTATCGGTCGTAAACACTCTCTCGATTGGAAAATTTTACCTGCCTAGTTAATAGGAAAACAAGGTTCGTTGCTCTGTCAATTACATGGTTAGAATAATGAACTTGTCTCATAACCTCGGTTCTCAATTAATCGTTAGAGTCATTTGAACAGAATTTTCTTAACTACAGATGTAAGGGAACGATTGAACTAAGACGGTTAGCCCTAACGGGTTAATCTGAATCATTAGCCACACTAGCTGATCCATCATTTTTAGAGCATTTTCTCATTTATGGAAAAAATGCACTATTGTGCTCGCCATGTCCGTCTGTCTGTCTGTTCGTGTGTCCGTCCGTCCGTGACCTCATGTTTTCGTCGACGTGAAAATGCGCTCTCTGTCACTCACTGCAGTGAGTACTGAGTTATATTTTTTTAAACCAGTTGCTGTTCAGCATAGAAGCCCTACTATGCCAATCAGCTCAACGCAGGACCAGCCTAATTAATTGGCATACCGCTTACCGACATATTTCGAATTATACATAATATATTGAAAATATTATGTAATAATATTTTGTATATTGAAATATACATAAAAATATTATTTATATTGAAATATATATAATTATATTATGTATAATACATTGAAATCGCTCTACTTTTGCAATTTCTTACCTGAAGGTCCTTGTAATTAACATTATTAAGTCTATTAATTGCCGCGGCTTGACGTCGAATTCATTAATTGTATGGCAGAAAATTGTCAAAAATCACTTGATGAGCTATTTTTCCCACATTTTAGTAGCTCGGCTGCACCTCATGAAATTATTAGGTGAAAATTATTTCAGCACCCGTTAAATAACATAACTGTGCATTGTTAATTTCCTATAGGAATGCATTATTTTTTTCGCTGCATTCTACTGTGTGTTTCTTTCTTCAACCAGGTATCCGACTCTTGCCAACCCAAATTCCGATTACGAGTCTAGTTTAGAGCATTCAGAGTCTGAAATAATGGTCATACCTTTGAACTTTATAGATATTGTTGCGCGAAATCATTTATAATTGGACTCTGGTATGGCTGGAAACAAGCGGAGTATTTAATAAACCACAAAAACTATCAACCTAACTTCAACAAAGAAATGCACGATCTTAATGGTCTTTATATTTTGATATTGGAAAATGAAATCAAGCTGGATTTATACTACAGGCAGAAAAAATTATTCATCCCAAAATTCCATAAATGAAGATAAATTTTTTTTAATTTTGAATTTTTCTAAACTTTATTTGGTAAATTTTATTATTTATCGTTCCATTCCTAACATCAATGGTGCAAATAATAAATTTCATTCCGAATTGGCTGACATTGAAAATGTTGCAACAATACCAACCGGTTGACATAAGATGCGAAGTAGCTAAAATTAAATTGAAAATAAGTTTGAGAGCTTGATTTAATTCAAACCAATTGATAAATGCACTGTAATATGCAATAAATAAATGCTTATTTAGATCAAAACGATATTTTTTCTCTCTCGTGAAATCTGAAGATGATATTCTAGAAGCCGCTCAAGCCCGTTCATGTGATACATGTTTATTGTATCGTGATGATCAGACCATATTTTGTTAGTGATTTACACGTTTTCTTGTATCCTTTTTCCCCAAGCGCCATACCATGATAAAAAATTGTAGAAAACCCTAGTCAACCCTAACAGTAACAGTAGGAAATTAACAACTGTTTATCAGATCAAAAGAGGATTATTTTGAACACTGCAGTTAGAGAAAAGTTGTTCGTTGACATCAAAAAATGTTAATAACGATTGGAAATATTTATAAAATGAAGAGCTTACAATAGAACTAAACCATTCAAATTTGAAATCAGATCTGATGAATGCACATATTGAGCTGACCAATTAGGGATATTCCAAAGCAAAATTTGTGAAATAGATTCGGTAAACTCATGCATATTTGATCAATTTTGATTGCGGGTGTATGCGTTTGTGTGTTTGAGGTCTGTCACCGTCAATATATTGGAAATTTAAAGGGGCTTATCCACGATACCTATATTAAGTCTATATAATGTCACTGTTTTACAGGGCTCGAAAATTTATTCATAATGAAATTATCAAGACTTTAAAAACAAAGAAAACGCCGAATAAATTAACCAAATCCTAAATGAATAAGGCGTATCGGAGTCCAGCTCCACCATCATTTCAAATATTTTGTAAAAAGAAATCCAGTCAGCAGCGCAAATTAAAATATACACGAAAAGATAATATCTTAATAGCATGACAACAAAAACAGAACATAAAAATCTGTAGAGAAAAAGAGCTGTACACGACATTGGGACCAGTTTTCATTTAAAATGAACATTGATTTCGCAATCCTTAAATCAGGACTACCAATTAGAAACCGAGTATCTTAAAATCGCAGTCCGATACGGTGACGTCGCATTACTCAACATGAAGACGCAAAACAGAGTTAGTAGATAGGACTAGAAAGTGGCTGATTTGAAGAAAAGCTACTGCCTCGAAGTTGCTGCCTCGATGTTCAGAGAGATGGATGTTAGTGTTACGCTACGTCATTCTGACGTGCGCTGATGTTAGTGTTACGCTACGTCATTCTGACGTACGCTGATGTTAGAGTTACGCTACATCATTCTGACGTAAGCTGATGTTAGTGTTACGCTACGTCATTCTGACGTACGCTGATGTTAGAGTTACGCTACGTCATTCTGACGTAAGCTGATGTTAGAGTTACGCTACGTCATTCTGACGTACGCTGATGTTAGTGTTACGCTACGTCATTCTGACGTACGCTGATGTTAGTGTTACGCTACGTCATTCTGACGTAAGCTGATGTTAGTGTTACGCTACGTCATCCCCCCTGATTAATACACATTAAGTTGAAATGTCGTGTAGGGACCATGTAATGAAACTTATCAAATGCATAGTATCTTTGTGCTTAACAATCTAGATAACCAGCCATGTTCTGGAGAATAGTTCATGTATCTGAAGAAAGAATATGTTCAAAATATGTTTCTTAGGCAAATTGTGCTGGTAAGCGTCATATCCATTGGGCTAGTTCTGGATTGAACTAATTATTAGCACCAATTCTTTCCTGAGCATAAACTAGATGAAAATTTTTAACTCGTTTGTTGTTTATGGTTAGACAAACCCGTTCACTCTAATTGTACTGTTCATTTTATCACTTGTCGTACCTTTTATAGACCATTCGTGGCATATTTGGAAGTTTCGCATGTCTCTGGTTCAAGCTGGATTGGTTCCTGAACTTTGCTTGAATCACCGATCGACCAACTTGTTTGCTTAATTTTGCAATTTTGTTTAAATCTACATTCAAGCTTTTTCACAATCCAAACGACGGTTTGGCGTTAACAAAACCAACGACGGTTTGGCGCTGGAGTAATAAAATTTTACATGAGACAGCATTATTTATTTTTCCTGCTAGTTTCTGCTCAAAAACTTAATGACGCCATTGTTGAAATATTTTTGCTCTAATACCTCGAGTAAAAATGTCGGTTTACAGAATTTTTCTGGGGCACATAATATTTCTTCTTTGGAGTACAATCCTAAATATTCGGAAGAATCACCGATGTTCCTGGAATTTTATAATGAAATCATGAACAGAGAGAAATAAGTGCAGGTTTTACATGTGGATTCTAGAACTCATATGATTGCTGTTTTACGAGCGAAAGGCTCGTAAAACAGATTCTAGGATTACTTGTACTTCCCTGCTTAATTTCTGCCTGATCTTACAGAGCCTCGACGCCTGAAAAGTTTGCTCATCCAAATGAAAAGCCCTCTGGCGATAAAGATTCCCCTTCGAATTTCTGCATTCCTCCCAGCAAACACATTGAATGCCATCTGTATTTTTGGGGTTGCAATAAAACTGTGAGCCCTTTTCCCTCTCTCTGCCCAACATGGAGGCGGCAACCAGAAGTCATTTGTTCAGTCTTTCACTGAGCGATAATGAGATGTTCCTCTTGATAAATAATTCATGCCGACGCTTCGAGCGAATAAGACAAAGAGCGGCCGCAGCTCAATAGCAAACGGAACTCACGTGCAGTTTAATCTCATATCGAGTCCTGGTGCTATATATATAGTGTTTTGTGACGCAAGCATATATGATAACGATGACGTGCAATTGGATTTCATGTTTGTTATGAAAAAAAACTCTCGTCGTCAAGCTCCAAAAGATTAAATGTGAACTATTTTGGCTAAACGTCACCCTTCCGAACATACTTGCTACTCTTGGTCTTAGAAAAAGACTTTAACTTCACTAAAATTCGGATGTTAACTTAGTCCAGTTAAATTGCAATTTTTCATCCATTCCTGAGGTCAACTTATTCTGTTTTTCCATATACATATATAATGTGTTATTGCCGTACTGATAAGGTCGAAAAAAAGAAAGGACGTACGTAACAATATAGTGTGTAACAATATAGTACATGGAACACATTGTCCGTTCCGTGTGGCACGTGACCATGACTACCTTCCTAAAAATAAATGATTGATCTGCAGCTTAAATTATTATCTCATTTAAGATTAAGAATCATTACTCAATTTAGTCAATAAGAAATAAATCGGATTATCTAAAAGTGACGTTTGACTCAAGATTTGATGCTTAGATACTGAGATAATAAATTTTTCATTCAAATGAAATACTTATTAAATAATAGATTATTTCACGAATGTTTCGTAAGGTTAATTTTCTAGTGCTTTTGATGGTCTTATTTCGTTGCTAGTAGAAAGTTGATAGATAAAGCAATTTTAGACATTTCTTGACCGAATCAAATCCCTCTTCACTGGCTGACTAAAGCGTCGTTCGACTGTGGGACGGTGTAACTCGACTATTGCAGTTGTCTGGAAATAAATTCAGCTAAAAATTGTATTTAGAAAAAATAATTTATATTTAGATGATACAGTAGAAGGAATAAATATACTTTTACCAAGTAATCGCTTCATTTTTGCGTGCCCAACAGTTTATGCATGCATCATTTGATTTAGATGTGAGAACTTGTTTGACCTAAAAATTTCTTTCATCTACAGTTTGACAGAAGTAACCGGACCAAGAGCGACTCACAGTGCGGCCTGGAAGAGGTGCTCAGTTTGCTGCGACCGTCAGAGTTCGAGGACAAGCAATTATCCAAATACAAAGGAATGTGCTGGAACGATTTCGTGGCACATAAAGATGGCACTCTGAAAGAAAATTCACCCTCGAGCAAAGAAGATTCTAGCACTGACAATATGCTTGATAAAATTGCTCAACGTGAGTCGCAAGACTGTCTAGGGAGCTTACCATCGCATGGAAGTATGAACGTAAGCGACAGAACCTCTCTTTTAGGGAGGGATGGCAGCGAAAAACGGCTTGCAGACTTAGTCGAAGGTTCCGTGGTGACGAAGAGACATCATCCATTGAAACTCATGAGAACCATGAGTGAGAGGACTCTCGACAGAGGAAGACCGAGCAATTTTTTTAGCTTGCTCAGTGAAAGAGTTCATCTTGAAAAATCCAGCAAGTTCGTCAATCCGCCCGCCATTCCAATGTCGACTGTACCACCGCAACCTTCTCCTACCCACCATTCTTCCTCTTTGTCACCATGTCTTTATCCAAAGCCTTTTCCATCTGACTCTAGAGCGACATTGTTTTCAAGTGCCGCAAGTCCCACATCAGCAGGTACGACAGGCGAAGGAACATCTCCGGGTCATCAGAGCGCGTCTTCAGCCACTCAGAGTGTGTCCTTAGGGCCACCAATTTTATCTCCTGGAGTCCAGTCAAGCTCTGGTGCGGCTCCAGCGACCGAAACTAAAGACTCAAGCGCCGCGGCTCCTCCATCTGATGCAGAAGAGCCGCCAAGTGATCTCTGCTCTTTAGAGGGCGTTGAAAGAATGCTTGAGGCTGCTAAAGATAACGCCCAAGCGGCACTTAACAAGAATGAGACCAAAAGAAGAGAGGCCGTCTGGGACCTTTTCCAGTCCGAGTGCACCTTCCTCTACGATCATCTCATGGTTCTCAAGAATGTGAGTACTCTAAATTATAAGCAGAGATTACACTATGAACTTGGAATCAGCATTTCGACAAAAATTGTCTGAATGAACTCAGGTTTATTCTTTGTAAATCTCATCCAATTACGTATTTCACTTTTTTATACGTTTCTCTTTACAACTGGCTATCTACTTTATATATACAGCTTAACATCATCGATTTTTCGCCACAATCATAATCGCTTATATTGTCGCCTTTGATGACTTTTCATGGATCCATTTCCTAAAATATAAATGAATTCATTTTTCACACATGAGAGTTGGGGGTACGCATTTTTATATTCTGCTGTAAAAGACTCGGCGAATTCCCAAACACCGCTCCCTGTGATAGGCTCATGTGGTTCGAGGTAACCTCCATCAGTCTCACTCGGGGCCGATGCTATCCCTCTACGTCAAAGTTTCTCCGAACTCTCGTCGAATTTCAAAGCTCGATAGAGGCTGCAATCTGATTGCCAGACTCCAAACATTGCAGGAAAAGTTGCAGGCTAAAACAACTTGAGGCTGTTCTAGGTTCAGGTTTCTTGGCAGTAGGGGAAAATGAGGCAAAATCATTGGCCTCAAACATAGAATGAGCGAAAAAAATATAAATAGTAAATCAAGTCTTGCAAACCTATAAATAAAATAAAATAGTAAATAAATTATCATAAAATATACTCATATAAATATTTCCTAATTCAGATCGATCATTGTGCGTCAGTGTATAAATGTCCTAATATTGCAGCAATAATTAACAGTCGTCACGCTATATTGTAATTACATGTCGTCACACTATATCGCAGTAACACTGCTTTGCCAGTAAATTGATCTTAATTGCAGAAATGCACGAGTAATTAAACACGACTGGGTAATGACCAGAGAAATCATTGATTTAAATTTTCAGGATCGAACAATATTCTTCAGTTGACGTTGGTTGATAAAAATTTAGGTTAAAGGAAGTAATTTAATTTATTAACGACGTTTCGAATGTGACATCATTCATTTTCAAGTTATAGAAAGCATTGAATACTGAAATTTTGGCGGAAATAAGTACATGATACACGTAAATATGATACAACACGAAAATTTGGAACCGCAAAAATAATTCCGAAACAATCTCAAAGTTCAGAAAATAATAAACGTCGTTAATAAATTAAATTACTTCCTTGAACCTGAATTTTTATCAACCAACGTCAACTCTGGTCATTAACCGCTCGTGTTTAATGAGTAATTAAACGTAAATATTTAAGATAAAGTTCATTTGCATAAATCAAGATATTATCTTGTTGCTGACAATTGAATACATAAAAACCTCAAAATTGAAATATTTAAGATCCACTGGGATGATTTCAGAAGATAAATAAATCACATTCATCAGAGATTAAACGATCGCAGTTTTCATCACGTTCAAATAGTGGGGTGTGCTTGCTTAACTCAATTTTTCTACATTTATAATTATCTATCGCCCAATAACCACTCTCGATTGTTTGAGCTTATCATTACAATGATAATTTTATTTAAATTTTATGGTTTCATTGGGTTAAGTTCTACTGTTGCTCGAAAACAAATGGTTACTCGAAGTTCCTTAAAACGATTAATTATGAGCCAATAGTAACGCAGACTTTTCCTTCAGCTTGATGATAACTCATTGCGAGTTCGAACATCGCTTCAGTGAGATGAATTCAAGAGATGATTCTATGATGAGTTTGGGCGGATGTTCAACTTCATATAAATAAAGATTCTAGTCATAACGAAAATATTCAAGTATGTGAGCATGTATGACAAAGCTATTTGCATCGCACTTGCACATCTTAAAGACTTCTCACGTACGAGTAGTATTGAGTTGGAAATTAGGTTAGGAAATAATAATGTTAATTAACAACGTAGAGAGAAATCTAAATCACAAAAAAAGTCCACGGAAACACCTACAAAAGTTTTGTTTCCGCATTTACGCCGGGCATTGATCGTTTCCATCCTCTCTCTGCCAGAAAGATTATAATTATTGAAACTGATTTCTTTTTATATAATAACTTTTTTGCATTTTTTATTTCGTAACAGACTTGGTGAATCTTGCAAATCCTCAGTCAAAAGAAAAACAATGTTTGCAATATCTTCACCCAAGGTTAATTAGTCATTAAATGTTTTTATGCTGCTGCTTCTTAGCTAACTCTGCGATGCGCTACATTTTGGCACATTGACGCTGATTTCGTCGTGGATGAAACTTTAGAAAAAAAAAATTTGAAAAATCACACAAATATATTATGCTGACTGGTATTTAACCTCGATTGTAATCCTTCAGAAAGTGAATGAATATTTAGTTGGACAAAAAGTGAAAGAAAAAAGTTTACAATAACTCTAATCTAATCGACGTGTTTACATAGTAGCAAACATAGCAGCACATAAACTGAGACAACTTAAAAGAAATTGACATAACTTTTGTAAGTACAACTTCACTAGGACATGGGCTGCTAATTTTTATTCATACAGAACAATATTCTCAACAGTTTCTGAATAGTTCATAAAATGACACAAAATAAATCGATTTTCTTCATTTATAGGAGCTTCTTTAGATTGTTACTATTTTTTTGGGTATAAGAATATCGCAACAGTGATTATTACCGAAAATAAATGAAATCGTGTAATGATGAATGAGTCACATTTGGGTTAAAATTCAAAAGAATTTCTTTAATAAAATTTCAAATCAATCAAATTTTATAAACCCCAATTCCTATACGAAACTCTGAATCCTCTAACTTATAGAGCTCAAATTTCGTTCATGATTCGGACCTCTCGTACTTCTTGTGCGACTCCGTCAGATCTTGTGCGACTCAGTCAGATCTCTGTGAAGTCTTGTACGATAGCGCTGTCAACATGAGGGCTTCAGGCATCTCTGCACGAAGTTACGGTGAATAAAATCTCTTGGAACATTACTTCAGGCTTGTGATGTTCTTGGCAACACTTGATAGTAATTTCAGCGGATATGAATTTTCTTGGAAATTACGAGGTTATCTTCTGGTTATCATATTGACAATCATGCAATGTAAAAATGCGAATTACTATTTTCTAATATTAACGAACACAGTACTTTACTTATGATAGCGGAATTCCTCTCGAAGGCCGAAATTTTATGGGCCAACTTCCAAGTTTCCACTTTTGTGGCGCTAAGATTAGACGGATCGCTGCAAGGCAAAGCCGTTCTACCGCCGAGAAGTTTTACATGATCAAGAGCAGACAAATCTGTAGTTAACAACAGCCGACTAATCTCCAGTTAATAAAAGCTGACTAATCTCGATATACCATGAGCAGACTAATATTAATTTAACATGAGCAGACATCTCCAGTTAACAACAGCCGACTAATCTCTATAGTTACCATGAGCAGACTAATCTCTAGCTAACAATAATAGAAGCACATATAACATCTAGTTAGCAGGAGCAGACTCAGTTGCTCTTATAGCAAGAGCGAACTAATTTCGTAATTTGTATTGTCAACAAACTCTAAAATTTGTAAACAAACTCAATACCGCATTATAAGGCCGTGTTGTTTAGGGATGCAGTGGCAGTTTAACTTTGATCTGTTATATTTTCGAAGGTATTTCCAAGGTAGCTTATGTACAACATTCCATGTCTGCTGGGAGGAAGAAGCTGGACATCTTCAGTAAAAATTGCCTTAAATTAAATAATATACAGTTACAACAATGAAGAATCAAGAAAACGATGAATGAACTTTAATTCCAGCGAATATAAAATTCTAATTCTTCTTAAGATTATTCTCACTGTATTATACATGGAGAAGAACTGATCTCATTTGATACGACTAAATAAATAATAAAATATAGTGTATACCCAAACTCTGCGGATATCTACGAATATATTAAATAATTTTAATTAAGGACTTATTTAAGAATATTATTCAAATAACATCGAAAAATATTTACTAAGACGGTTATGATAGGAATTTATATAGGTGCGGTTTATCAAAGAAAATTACAATTTAACAAGATAGACTCAACTCCTTTTAGTAAACTTAATATTTATTTCATTCCTTTTATCCTTATTGTTTGTCTATGTTTAATTTTTGCATTGATTTTTATTTTTTTATTATTTATTTATTTTTTTCTTTTTTGTGCGTGTGTTCTCTCTTTGTTCCAGATTTTCACTTTCAGAGCTGTTAGACTGTTAGGTACCAATCAAACCCAGTTTAGGCAAGGGGCTTTATGGACTAGTTTCCAGTGCTCCTATAAGAATAAATAAGAAAGAAAGAAGACTCAACTCCTGCGCCAAATTATTAGGTCGCTGCATAGAAGCGTAAGTGAGGCGTAAAATTCCTATGAAATCCCACCAGTAACGAAACAAATAATGATTTCTATCTAATTACAATTCAATTACAGAATCTAATAGTCCATGAAATATTAATTTGTGAATAATAATCGAAATCAATTTATCTGGAGAGTGTACGTCGAATGGGGGCAATTAATTAATCATTCGCGAGGTCAACGAGGTTAATATCGATAAAAATAATGGAATAATTTCTTGAGAAAATTCGCAATTCTGAAATTCGCTTGAGCAAATTTAAGAGGAAACTTTCGTAAGTTGTTACCTTTAATTCAGTTGGTTCTCTGTTCAGTCCGTTCAATGAAACTTACGCTGACATAAAGCCCGTGTTGTGACACATTGTTATTTCAAAGTTACGGCAAAACTTTTCTCAGACGAAAAAATTACGAAAACTTAGTAGTCAAAATAGCCGAAAATGTCCATTAAGGAGTTAGACTTATTATTAGTTAAGTTAAATCAATTTTTCTTCATTGATGTGTTTCATATTTCATATTGAAGTTTAAAATTTGCAATATTATTCCTATTATATATTATCCTTATTTAAGTACTTATATCATTCGTCCGCTTAAATCGCAAGTCAACCAAGAATTTAAAAGAAAACAGAACTTCCAATTAAATTTAAAGTACGTTTCAATGGAGATATGGCAATTTTTATCTATATTATGG